AGGGGGGAGGGGGACGTAACGGGCACCGCCGCGTCGCGATCGCACCCCGTATACGCGCGACGTGCGGCTAGTTGTTTTTTCGAAATCGAGTTTTTTTTTTTTTGTTCGTTTTTTCACGAACGGAAAACACGTTGGTACGCAACAAGAACGGCAATGCCCCCGCACGCGTTCTCGTTTAAAACGAAACCCGACCTAACCCGCGCCATTATAACGCGAACGACGCCGGTTAGGGGTACTATAAACGGTTAATAAACTATAATAGTTATTATTAACGTAGGTACGTTGTATATACAATATTTAAACGATAATTTTAAGATGGATTAAATTCGCAATTCAATTTTTTTTTCTTAGATTCTGAGCGAAGCGAGAAATGCGTTGGTTATACATACTGCGGTGTGTTATTATAGTGGGTTTTTTTTTTCCGTTTACGTCTGTACACAACTTTTCACAAAGGTTGTGCGACAGACGTCAAACAGAAATCTTTTCATCCAAGTCGTTTTTTGATCTTCCTTAAAATATTCTTGATAGCTGTGAAAAACTGTCAATTTACGTTGATTTCTAGGTCGTCTCGAGAACAAGGGGAAAAATACTGCTAATAATATTCTGCTCTGAATCGTTTTTCGTTGGCAATGGTTTATCGTTGTGTACGGATATAAATTCAAAAACTGTATGATAATATCATCGTTTTTGTCTTTTAATTTTTTTCCTAAAACAGTGACACGCCCATCAGCAATATATTTTTTTTCTTTTTACCACCTGTACACAATTTCCAAATACACTGTCTCCCTTTTCTTGGCAAAATCCTAAATACTCCGTCGAGTGCGTAGTGCAAAACGATTGTCTGAAATACGTAACGAAAAATTTTTCGTCGGCTAAGTCTCGTGCGCGACTTTTTACGGACAAAAAAAAAGGAAAAAAGAAACGTACAGAATATTATATCGTTGTCGAAACGAGAAACTACTAAATGTACTGTATCGGGGCTGTAAATGCGCTGCAAAATCGTTGGACCGTGCAAATTAACCAAAATAAAATCTTGCGCAAAGTGCGAAATTATTTTTGTTTTGTTTTGTACTCGTGGCGGTCTTTCAATGTTAATATATTCTCCGTCGTTAAGTTTACCGAAAAAATCTGTCTGTTGTTTTTTAGTCGGTCGACGGTCGGAATTATTCGTTTTTACGCCGCAGCGTTTTATACGATAAAACTTATTGCGTTTTTTTATTTTTTTTTATTATAATTTATTATCCGCATTGGCTATATTATGTTGTCCGTGTGATTCATCATAAAATTTTACGCAGAACAAAAAATACGATCGAAAAATATATCGGCTGGGTGTCTTTCGAAATACAGCGACGTTCTTTATCAAAACGATAATAACACCTATGCGTATATTATACATTCCGAAATTCCGCTGCAGTTTGATAACATTTCAGATTGTCGGATCTTTTTCCAAAATTCAACGCCGCCAACCGAATTCCCGTGATATCCTGCAGCGTTCCGTTTTACCGAATTTTCCGATGGATATCCGACGCACTATCGATAAAGCTGGAAAATTATCGCAATCATATGATTGAGTTTCGTCATATCCAACGCAATGCAAACGTTATTTCGGTATCCAGTACGACCTTCCAACAGACCCGTCGTTTAATTGAATTTCGGGATGCGAGGTTATAAATAATATCGCTGAAACGAGCGGAATTATATTATTGTAAATACACCGTAACGTAGGTGTACGCGTTGTTCGAATTGCGTCAATGAGGTTAAACTTTGTTGACGATTGTTTTTTTCTTCTTTTTTTTTTAATATTATTAAATAGGCTCGTATGATGTGCGAAGACGAACCATGATGTGGAAAGAACGGCACGTGCATTCACCGCCTCTGTCTATAGACATAGTTTTATAAAACGGGCAATATAACGGGGAATATAAGTCCCTTCTCCCCCCCCCCGTTTATGACTTTCGTACTTACAACAGTACCTGCGGGTATTTGGCCAGGAGGTTGGCAATTATACCGCGTCGCTTCCTCCATTAGCTTGAAAATACTACCACTGTATTTAACAAGCTGCTCTACTATTTTAAATACATGTATATTTTTTGTCACCCTTATTTTTAGGAGTAAAACCACTACCTAGATTTAGGTTGGAGGAGAGTAGTGGAGTATCATTTGTGTAGCGGTACGGCGCGCGTCGTGTCAATAATGTACCACCACTCTCACCCAACCAAAATTTAAAAGTGGAATATCTCGTCAACGGATTGACGGAAATCAAAAATTTCAATACCAAAATTTATCGTAATTAATATTTCATATGTTTATGGAATTTTTTTTATTGATTGTTGTTTGAAAATCAAAAGTAGGTACCGGTTTTACCTCCAAAAATAAGGGTGATAAAAAATAACATAAATATAAAACTGTAGAACAGCATGTTTCTTAAATATTTTAGAAAACAAATTCCGGAAAAAGTTAATACTTTCCGAGATAACGAGTGTCTTACGATAGATTGATTACCCTGTAGATAATATTATTGAAAATCGGATTATGTTGTAAAATCGGTGTGCTGTTAATTTTAATATCGGAGCGAACACCGTGGCCTATATTATCAAAGTCAAATAATTACGAATATTCCGGGTGCCGTTGTATTTTTTTTCTCGATATTTTAATTTTCGAACGAAACACGATAATAAGTAAAATATCGCGATTTATAAATCCTTGTGATTCGCTTAAAAATTAAAAAAAAAGTCTAAAACATCGCAGACAATGTTCTTGCATTTAAGTTTTTTTTTTTTTTGATAATAAACTGTAATTAATCCTAATGAAATTTAATAATAATTCACTGTAATTCTGCTCAACAAACAACAACATTCGACGTGATCACATTTTCAACATCGTATATTATTTTTCAGCCGTCGCTTTACACAACGGAAATCTTGATTTATTCGACGAAAATTGGCTTTTTTTAATCCGGCTTTTAAATTCGCGTTACCACAAGTTACGTATATAATACAGTATAGAAGATTGTACGGTTTGTTCGCGATTATTATTTACCGTACCGCTCCCTCCCGCCATCGCCGACGATTAGCGGGCGCGCCGACGCTGAATAAGTACTCGGGGTCTCGTCGCCGGCCGTGTAAACTGGATTTCAGTGCCAAAAAATATACCCGAGAAGTTGTATAGAGTCCCGAACGTCTATATAAAACGGTTGTTTTGAATTATTATCATTATTTTTTTTTATTTATTCGTTTTTCGTAGCGATTTTATTTGCATTTTGAATGTTGATGGAGATTTCATAAAAAAAAAAAAACGCTTCTTTACAGTCGCTCGGTAAAACTTCTCGAAATCGAGAAGTTTATATTATACGCTTTTATATACGATACCGCTACGAGGCCCTATAATGTCGACGAAGTGCGCAAACGCGTTTTTTTACTATTAAATATATACGTGGCGAGCCGACAGAATATACGGACAGAGTAGAGGGAAAAACGTCTACGATCGTACACGCGAAAAACTCAGTAATTAAGATCGTACAGTAACTACCGTGTGCGCGGGACATACTGTTTCGTTTGTTTGTTTGTTTGTTTTTTTTTTTTTTATACCGGCGCGGAACAATAATATTATATTAGTAATTTTCCGTCGCTAAAAAGTAAGAGAAAAAAAAAAAACGAGTATAAAATACATACCTAACGTCGCGACGTCGTCGTCGTATTTATTAGCCGTTCGCTTGTCGTTTTCGCGTTTGTGTATATACATAATAATAATAATAATAATATTGTTGGTAGGTATACGTCGGGCGAGAGAGAGAGGGAGAGAAAAAAAACTCGTATTGTTTATTATACGATTTAAATCTCTCCGTTCGTGTACCGACGTCGTAACGCGGCTTGCTGTTTGATCGCGGGATTGCGAGTTTTAGAAAAAAAATTTAAAATTTTTTTTCCTCCCAATACTTACCGCGAACGATAATATTTAGCAACCCGGGACGTTTCGACGGGAGGGTACGCATTCGTTACAATGAGGATCGTAAAAAAAACCGTCTTCTCTATTATGCCCAATAACCCGACTGGGCACCCGCAGAAAATTTATCTGTGGGGTGCATAGTGTAAAATTAAACTCCAAAAAGCACTGAAAATGTAATTAATCAATTAGTCAGGTCCGGGTGAGGGGTGGCGGACGCAAAAAAAGCCAATATCTAATCGAAACGCATCGCATGCGCTTTTCCCCGGTAACTCGGTCGGGACTGTACGCACGCGTTTTCCGATGTTACTCGCGTCGCTCCTTGTGTTTCGACGGTCGACGGGGGACGGGACGGGCGTCCCGTAACGACTACCCCGGAGCGCCCGTCGTCAAAGTCAAACGGCGGCGATTCAAAAAAAAAAAAAGTGGTGGCGGGGAGCCGGCGGTCGTTCCGTTATCACCGCGCATCGCCGTGATTATCGGCTGTCCGTACCCGCGCCGCTGTGCACCGCGGTAATCGCTCAACGGCATTGCGGGCCAGTCGCACAGGTCCACGGATATGTTTTTTTATGTGCGAATCCTTGCGGCGCGGAAACGGCTCCCCGTCGGATCGATGGACAAAAAAACGAATACACCTACGCGGGACACGCGCGCACACGAGGGCGCAAACACACGGGCGCACGCACAGGTACGAAACGCGTGCGGCGATGTCCGCGTACGCTGTGCCGCGCGTTAAATTATTCCGTTTGCATTCGTTCGCGGGCCGTCCGTTTACGATGCACGCGCGCGCACGCACACGCACACGCACACGCACGTACGCGCGGATATCGCGTTAAAAGACGCGTGTGCGCGCGCGTAGCCCCCCTATCCCCCCCCCCCGCCCTCTCCAACGCACGCCGTCGCGCGTAGTGCGGCCGTATTAACGCGCGTTACGCGAAAACGGAACCGTTGTACGTTTCGGACGGCCAAAGCGCATCTGCGGCCGGGGCGGTCGGCGGGGAAAGCGTATAGCTGGGTGTATCATAATGTACCTATTATATACATTGCGTGCGTGCGTGTGCGTGCGCGTGCGTGTGTGTGTGTGTGTGTGTGTGTACGTATACGCGAAACGAGCGCGACTTACGTCGGCGACGCGTTACCAGCCGCCGCCGCCGACGCCGCCACTACACACACACGCACGCACGCACACACACACACACACTCAATAGCGTTCGATTCGCGTACCGCGATATTATTATTGTAATAGGCGCGTGTGTATACGGGAACGTTTCGACTGCGGCACGCATCACGCCTATTATCGTTTGTGTATTATCGCGAATATTGTGTTTTTTATGCGTCGCGAAAATGACAAAAAAAAAAAAAAAAAAACCCGACGGCTAGACGGAAAAATCGACAACGGTTACGTATTGCGTATTGTATTTTCGTAGTTAATTTATCGCCTCCCATCCCTTCCACCTCCCACCAACCGTTTTCCTTTATTGTTATGATGCCGTACACGAAAAGTGCAGCGGAAATCGAATAACTGAAAACTGCGGGTCGTCGGCCATTTCCGAGCGGTCGGAAACATTAGCGCCGAAGCCGCGTTCGGGATTTGTGTTTTTCGAGACGGAATAAAATTACAAAAGGTTATTGCACATCATTTAATGCGCTTCGATTTCGATTCGAATATTTAAAGCACGCGCCTAATAAAATTAATAATTACGCACGCGGTAGCGCGTCAACTATTCGTTGAGGAGGCGCGGGGCTAATGAGCTTAGCCCCCCTCCCCTTGGCCGTGCCTACCCTTGATTAGGACCGTATTGTACTTTTAACTAACTAATTATTGTTGAGCAGACGTTTATTATCGTTATACCACCGGAATATTAAATATAATTTCGGTTAATTGTACAAATAAATTAATAACGTATAGATAAATCGATTTCGCAGCCACCGTTTGTGTACACATTTTCCCTTTGTGCCCGTTTTTGCACGTTCGTTTATTTTCGTAATAGACCGTACATCTTGTTCGATATATTTCGATTTAAAACAATCCAAGACGCGGGTAAATATTAAATTCTCGGAAAAACGATCGGTTTGGTTTGCATTGTTTTTGTTCGTTGTTACGCTGTGTCGGTCGTTGGTTTCTGACAGAGAGTTAAAAGTGCGCGCGGAACGCAGCGGAGTAGGTGAACATTTCATCGGTCCGTTTCTGCTTCGTTCGTGAAGTATGAGTTGCGTTTGCTATGTGTCGGAGACGTGAAATTTCGTACGCTTCTGGTTCGACTGCAGATTCGGCGAGTTTTTCTCTCAGACGTGGCGGGAAGTTTTGAATTACTTTTGACGGACTTGCAGCGGTTGCCTGCGCGAGTGTGGACGATTAAACGCGTATACAAGTTTGTTTTAATTACCGGCCGAAATATCGGTGGCTCGTGCCGGTCCTGCGTATAGAGACGCGTATAATATGACGGACACGCGATTTAATTAAGCGGATTTCGATGTGTTTAGCGGGACAGCGCTTCTGGTGTTGACTAGCGGAAATAACGAGCGGTTTGGCCTTGTGTTTTTTTTCCCCGAGTAGTTCAGTCTGTTGTCTATGCGGAACACCTCGGCTATTATAGATAGAGCTCGATCGTTTAAACGGGAAATTTTCGATACGGGTCATCGATGACCATCAGTTAAGTCCTCTCCCTCCATACACGGTCAATTCAATTGTATCGATAATATTTATATCAGTTTCCAAAGAACTTACCGACCGCCGGTAACAATAACACGCCGACAATGTTGATCAACACGACGTATACATCAACAACCGTTCGGTTGGTTTTGAACACGAATAAAACTGCATTACGGGTCTCACGAAAATAGTTACTTACATGCAGTTTAGCCTATCCCGCCAACAAAATCGCTGTTGCGTTTTACCAATAACAATATGATGTACGCCGATAGACTCGTGTTATTCGCTGTGCAATTTACTGTTTCGGTAAATCCTGAAAAACACTCCGAAAACGCCTTAAAAATGTCTTTAAACGTTCAATTTGTTTGCAGAAAAATAAATTAAAATCCCATTAAAACAATCAGCCCGAAACACGTTTATTTACTGCGGACCTATACGTTTCGGAACATCGGGAAAAAATCTATCGGCATCGCGTCATTATAGTACTAATCGCATCATCCTCCACCTCCCCCCCCCCTACGATTAACGGTAATATATTGTCGTAACGGGAAAAATCGATCGCTCTGTATACCGCGTACGGCCATACGACTGGCGATGCCATTAAACGGTACGATAACGTAACAAAATAATAATACAGACATCGAGCATAATGTTGTATACAGAGTACAGACGGCGGCGTTCGCGATTCGTATTTTTACGTATCCGTAAATAATCTGCTAATAATATTGTTACCGATATATACCTCGGTATAATATTGGCGGCGGGACCGATCCGTTTTCGGATCGAACTGTTCGGCGGATTTACGCAATTTTGAATAACGTCCAATACACACAGTGTGTACAATATTAATGTGTATACACACACACACACACACACACATAGATCGGGCTAATGTTAAAAATAGGCGATAGTTACCGTATATGCCGATGGCGTGCGATATTGATCTGCGGCTAGCGGACGGCGGCGCGGCATCACGTGCGTTTTGACGAAGGCTTCGTCTCTCGTCCGCGTGACCGCTAAACACAACACCGCCATGCACGCGTTTATGGTTTTTTTTTTTTTTAATACGCGAATTTTACGCATTATATACATATGTGTATAGTACTATAGGTTTTATTTTCGCTTTTTTTTTTTCTTTACGGGTTCACGCGTACGCCCGCGCGCGCGCGCTCCCGTCGTATGTGCGCGAAACTGCTTTCACTGTTTGCGGACGAAAATCCGACAAACGCGCACACACGCTCGTTCGTGAAAACAACAATAACAATAATAATACAGGAGCAGGTGTATACGTCGAATAAGGCGTACGTTATTACTGTGCGCGTGTATAGTGGTGCAACGTGCAATCCGAATAACAACAATATTATTGTAACACGTATTATTGTGCATTTTGTGTCTAATCAGTCTACCGATTTTTTAAATTAAAGTCGTTTTTTTTTTCTCCCCGTACCTCCTTCGCTCGTATTATTATTGTTTATTTTCTCTTTCACGTAACCCGGCGCCGACCTGACCATGGAAATTAAGGCCGCGAACGAGTCCCCGGGCCGCCAGTGTATAGTATTCGTGTCTGGAGACGCCTCAAGGTCCAAGATTTACAACATATCTTCGTTCGACTATATATGCTGACGTGTCTTTAGAGATTAAATAATACACGTACATCGCAGTATTGTTTAAACTTTGGTTGAATATTGTAGACTACAGTCAAATAATACAAGACGCATCACAACAAATTATTGATTTATCATAATATTTGGGCGGCAGGGTATATTTATATTACACCGATTACCGAAAACTGCAGTGTCGCTGAAAAACGCTTTTGCGAATTCAGCATACCTACACATTACACGTACATGTATACATATCCGCATTGTGATTTTTTAGAAAAACGATCGACCAATAAAACCGAATTTCGACCCGATATTGCGTCGAATTTGACGGAATTTTTTATTTTTCGTCAGGGGGGCGGGGGCTCTAAACACAAGGGGCTCTCGGTATGCCAGGCCGACACCCTTAACCCGAAACCATCATCGCCTTATCGAGATTTTATATTTTTCAAAAATTCGCTCGTAATCCACGTCTAGGTATATTATAGTATGTAGGTTGATATCATACCATTACGTCATTTGTTAGCGCGGTTTTCGTGTGCACCTGACGAATCGAAATTCGCCGTGTCATGGAGACGACGATGTTACATACTCGCGTGTATCCGTCTCCGTCTTACAAACGTACGGCAAAGCCCATTTGCGTTCAGCCAGTGGCGTACCTTGAATTTTCTAATGGTCGGAGGGGGGGAGGGGGTTAAACGAATAAAACTAGACTAAGAAAAAAAAAAAAAAAAGAAGTTTTGAAAAATACATAATTGTGCAGTGCAATGCAACAGTATTTGTACTTGTAAAAGGCATGTTTTGGCGAATAATTAAATGCAACCTGGTTACTGTATTTTATAAAAACAAGTCATTTTGGCGATTTTAGTAATTACTTTGGTTACAATTTTTGCTTATAGACCGAAATATCATAACCAAACGAGATGAACGGTTATGACGTTTGGTTATTGTTAATGATCCAATATGGTGGGAGGGTGGGGACACGTACGTTACCTATAGTTCAGAAAAAGTAGCGCAAACATGCAACGATTATTATTATTTAATTAGTAATAACTTGCTTGTATGCTGAATAGTTTATATTATTCTTTTGCACTAGACACGGCCAACGCAGGTGGAGGACTTAAGTCTCCTTAGCCCTACTCCTGGGCACGCCACAGCGTTTATAGCGGCGATAACTTTGTGCTGTTCGCTACCAGAGCGAATCGACCTATATTATCAAACGTAACATTATCCGTGCGCGACCATGGGCGTTTTTTTTTCGACGTACTAATTTTTAAGCGAGATATAAGTGTATGCACGAAGTAGATGCGAATTATCGGCAACATAAAAATGCTTACGTTTCGTTTAAAAATTTAAATATCGAAAAACTCCTACACGGTTATGCAGACAATGTTCTCGCGCCTTTAAGCTTGATAATAGCCGGTCGATTCGCTTTAATATTAAAATTAACGACACAAAGTCGTCTCTGTCGAACCCAAAATTAGCTACGTCGTACGTCGGTAAGACTGGTATAGTATAAACATGCGGGTATCACGTCCTATCAAAAATTAACTACCTATAGTTCAGTAGTTTAGTGAGCGGGGGTTACAATGCATTTGAAATATATAATAAACTACTTATATATTACAGACGAAAGGGCGCGTAAAAAATAAGAAGGCATTTACTCCACACTTAACCCTCCGTTAACGATGTATTTATAGTACATTTCACACCGTCGTCGTTATTATATTGAAATTTAATTTATCTGTTAATTTTCATAATGATTTACGATTGATATGAATGGTGGCCGAAGTCTATTTAGAGATTTTCAGACGGGTTGTCCTTAATTATGGTTTAATGGATGTATAGAGTGGATGACGTATATTGGGTAGATATTTATAATGACCAGGGTAACGATTTGTGGGGTAAACTCAAGCCCGATCTTCCAGTGGATAATAAGTGATAGTAGCAGTTTTAGCGGTTTGAAACATCATTTTGGAGGCTGAAATTGCGTCATTTCTGATGGTTTTTATTTTAGCTGAGCGGAAAAAAGGTGGAGCTACTCACGAACGAACACGCGTCTTAGATGAGAATCGGATCGCCTTGGTTTGAACATGGACTCAATTCTTTTCCAATTTGTCCGAACTGTTCGATTTCAGATTTCATAATGCATATAACCACGTGCCGAGTTAAACAATAGCATTGACCGTCAGGTTTGGTTTGAAAATTCAATATCATAATTATTAAATAAATGTTTTGAAAAAAATATTATAATAATAAAGTGTTTCTTTTCAGCGTCGTCCGCGTTAAATAATAAAATTTAAATTCAGGAATTCCGGTTGTACAAAATGGATAAATTATTATTCGTACATTATATTTTTTTTTCCATCAAAAGATTGTATCGTAGTTATTAAAGTAATAAAAGACAAAAAAAAAAAAACCCTAAAAATACACAGTTATTATATTTTAGTTTATTACATTATTACATTTACAAAATTAATACATTTTAGCGAAATATTATGCAAAAATATTCAAAATTAATTTTTGTCTATGAGCTCCGAAAGCCATTATAAAACATACCTAAACAGTTCTTATCTCTAATTATATTTAGCTGTTAAAAAAAAAAAAAAATGAATTTGCATACAAATCCCGACGTTATTTTTAATCAGGGTTCCCGTAGGTACTTATAATAGTGCGCACTTAGAAAACGCGACGGAAAACGACGCTTTTAAAAATGTTGAGTTAATTTATGTTTATTTCGTTTCAGAAAAAAAAAAAATTGCTGACCGTAGACCACAAAATAATATCATGTCATTTGACATTTTTCCTCACGAAATTTTATTCATCGAAATTGCGACAGGTTTCAGACTAGTTTTGGGACCGAATACAATACGGAACCTCGAAATACGTCTGTTTTATTCTATTCTAATTCGCATTACGACATTGTGAATAATAACTCATAATAATAATAATAACAATAAAAAAAGCTGTCCTGGGATAGTGGTGACGGGTGCAGCCACTGTTGTAGGTGGGAAGTTGGGAAGGAAGGATACAGAAGGGAATTTAATGTAAGCATCTGTAAGCAACGATAAACCATTGATAACGAAAAAATGATTCCGAGTTCAGTTCATAGTGATGTTTCGTCAACAAGATATATATGTCACGTTATTGTAAAATAATTAATCAGGCATTATATGTATTCTTTAATAATATTTGTTTAATATTGTACCGATTTCCCCCGTTTTTCCTACGTTCTTCCCGACGTCCCCGTGTATTTTCCCGGTTTTTCATGTTTGATGAGAAAAGTGTCATCCCGAGAAAATTTCCTTTCAGAAAAAGGTCAACGCCGTACACGCCGGAGTAAGCTTTTTGTTGGAAATAGGGTTCGCATAAAAAAAAGAAAAAAAAGAAAGACAATAAAAATAAACCACTTTGTAAAACCAATATCGTTTTTCTTCGCCGCACCCGGAACGTAAAATACATAAAATATTACGAAAACAGCCGCACGCGTTCATAGGCCCTTCAATGTCTCCCCCCCAAAAAAAAAAAAAACGTTCGTAGGCCCCAGGCGCAGTGTCTATGCGCTGATAACGCGGTCCTAATGGCAGTCGCGTAATAATATTGTCCTACGTACTCTGCTGCGTACAACATTAATTGTGTCGAACAACAGTATTATAACGCCGAAAACACCCGTCGCATTATGTGCCGTTTGACAGTGCGGGCAATACAATTTGAACGCCGGCGACGGTTTTTTGATTATTGTTGTTTTTTTTTTTTTTTTTTTTTGTTACGACAATCGCCGTCATACCGGTCACTTTCACACCCGCGAATACTGCGGCGTAATATTCCGAAATTAACGGCGCGCGTTCGTGTACCGCGCCGGCACCGGAACACAACTCTTTCTGCGTTTTTATAACAATCTGTTGAACGTGAACGCGGAGCAGACAGAGAGAGAGAGAGAGAGAGAGAGAGAGAGAGAGAGAGAAAAAAAGAGAACACCGTGTATCGTAAATTGATAATCATAATGCGACGGCGTTTCGCGTACGGCGCGTAATGCGTACGAATGCCGGCGCGTCATTCGCGGCGTTACACAAATAATCAACAAGTGCCGTTTGCCCCGCGGGGAGTACCGTAATTGTATTAGAGTAGTGCGAGAACGCCGTGTTATTGCGACGCGTACGTACGTGCGCATGCGTGTGCGTACACGCGCGACGCGATGAGAGACTGCACGCAACTATCGCGCGCCCCCCCCCCCGCGTTATACTCGATTACCACGGTAATTTCGCGATCGAAACAATGGACGGCGGTCAGAAGGGAGGCGCGGCGCGCGTGCACATTGCCGCGCGTTTATCGACCGGGGCTGATAACGTTCGCGGCCGCGTTGTTTTAACGCCGCAGCGTCGCGCGGCCGTTTGTTACGCGCGCCGCGTACGGCCGCGTGGACGCAGGGTCCGTCTCAAGTGGACGCGTCTCGGAAGTCGTCTCGGGATGTATTGACCTTTTTCCCGCGATCCGTTCACGGACGACGACGACCACGATCGGACAACGGACGGCGGTGTTAGTGAAAACACATTTTTGGCGTTCTGACACATTTCGATTTACCGCAAAGCCGTCGACGAGTTATTCCGCATTTTTTTCTGGTCCGGGCCGGAGGAGAGCGGTGGCGTGTAAAATGATAATGCACCGCTTCTCCCTCTCCAATCGAAACGAAACGGTGAAACGTCTCGTCTTCCAGAAGACAAATTCAATACTCTGCGTGATAATTCAACCGTAACCGCTTAAATCGATCATCCGGCAGAAACTACCGTATTATCATAATTATTATTACCCGACTCGTATACAGCGACCGACAACAGAGTAGGCCGAGAATTGTTATTATCGTCGTTTTTTGTTTTTCTTTGGTTTGTCCGAAACGGGTAAATTTATTTCTGTCGTTTTCAGTTTTTTTTTTTTTGTCGTCGCTGTTGTTGCGGGGAAGTTCGACTACCGCGCGTTCGTATGCGTTAATGCGACTTGACTTATTGCGCCCTTTAGGAGATTAACGCGCTTTTAAGACCGATTGCAGTTTATGTATTTATGCGCACTGGGCGTCAACTGTATTAAAACTTTCGCATTACCAACAAAGCGAACGTTTTCCGTTTCCGAGGGATATTCGGAATGTACTTTTAAATTTTCGGCGATTTTCGACCGT